ACAGACAGCTGCTGAATTGACTTTATCCCTTCGCTGCTGCAGTTGTTTTGCTGCTGCTGTCGCTGCTGCTGCTGTTGGCTTCTGCAAGAAAGCACCGTTACTCTAGCTGGGCAGCTCTGCTGCTGCATTAACTCCTTTTCCTGTCTCTGGTGCTGCTGCTGCTGCTGCTGGGGGTGATGCTACTGCTGCTGCTTCTGGTGCTGCTGCTGCTACAACTGCAATGTTGCTGCTGCTCCTGGTGATGCTGCTGCTGCTGCTGCTTCTGCTGATTCTGGTGGTGGCGGTTCTGCTGCTGCTTCTTTTACCGCTGCTGCTGCTGTTGGTGCTGCTGCTGTTGCTGCAGTTGTTTTGCTGCTGCTGTCGCTGCTGCTGCTGTTGGCTTCTGCAAGAAAGCACCGTTACTCTAGCTGGGCAGCTCTGCTGCTGCATTAACTCCTTTTCCTGTCTCTGGTGCTGCTGCTGCTGCTGCTGGGGGTGATGCTACTGCTGCTGCTTCTGGTGCTGCTGCTGCTACAACTGCAATGTTGCTGCTGCTCCTGGTGATGCTGCTGCTGCTGCTGCTTCTGCTGATTCTGGTGGTGGCGGTTCTGCTGCTGCTTCTTTTACCGCTGCTGCTGCTGTTGGTGCTGCTGCTGTTGGTGCTGCTGCTGCTGCTGCTGCTGCTGTTGCTGCTGCTGCAGTCTGTGCGAGCCTGAGGTGCAGCAGGAGTTGGTGCAGCTGCTGACGGAAGCAGAACATCCTTTGGGGTGTATCGACAGCAAAACAATTTTATCTTTCTTTGCTGCAGAAGTTTTCACTGCAGAAATACCTGAAATACACAGGTCAGCATAAACCCTAAACCCTAAACCCTAAACCCTAAACCCTAAGCAGCAAACCCTAAACCCTAAACCCTCATTCCACTGAGGCTCTAGTTCGGAAATACGCATCTCGCAACAAACTCTAGCATTTAATCTCTATACCCTAAACCCTAAAGCCTTGTCTCGCGTTTGGAGCAGACCTCAACCTTAAATCCTAAACCCTAAACCCTAAACCCTAAACCCTTGCATGCAGATATGGCCAGCGGTTTTGTGTGGCTGTCTTTCAGCGCATTTCTCTCGTGGGAGGAGACAGCAGCAGCAAGAGACAAATTCTGGAGCCTGCTGCAGCACGAACCGCCGGTGAGAGACTGCAGCAGCAGCAGCAGCAACAGCAGCAGCAGCAGCAACAACTTGTTGCGGCAGAAGCAAATATAAGGGAGTCGTACTTGTGTTTTTCTCTGTTTATTTTTCTCGTATTGTTTGCCTCCCCCCTTCTATTATTTATTATTATTATTTTATTATAATAATAAAACCCTAAACCCTAAACCCTAATTGTGCACTCAGATAAACGCCGTCTTGCTTGGCTATTTCAGCAGATGTTGGCAGGCTTTCCTCAATACCTCTCCCTTGCAAGTGAGGACCCCAAAACCCTAAACCCTAAACCCTAAACCCTAAACCCTAGATTCAAACCCCTAAACCCCAGAACGAAATTGAAGAAGCAAGGACTCTACACTTGCAGCATATGCTTAGGGCAGAGCTGCTCCCCAGTTGTGCCTCCTTGCCCAACAGGGGTTCAGGGTTTAGGGTTTAGGGTTTAGGGTTTGTTACTCAGACATGCGTCTACCTGAAGCAGCGAGGAGATGTGGAGGAGCTTTTATCTCGTCACCTTTACAACCGCTCTATCTTGGGCAAGTGCATGCACTCAAAACCCTAAACCCTAAACCCTAAACCCTAAACCCTAAACACTACACCCCAAACACTAAACCCTAAGCCATAAACCTTACAGCATCTCTTTACAGTGCTGCAGTTTCTGCTAGCTCTGCGAGCTGTTCTGGGGTATAGGGTATAGGGTTTAGGGTTTAGGGTTTAGGGTTTGCTTCTTATCGCGTGTCTGCAGATTTGTATCTAGCCCTGATTCGCCCCCAGTTTGGGGGAGGCATTGTGAGTGTGTCCATCAGCAGAAACCCTCTAGGGTTTAGGGTTTAGGGTTTAGGGTTTGGAGTATTTAGGGTTTGCGGCTTGGGCCTTGAGGTAGGGGTACAGGGCGAGGATTTAGGGTTTGAGCTTTCGGGTTTAGGGTTTAGGGTTTAGGGTTTGGGATGTGGCGGCAGGCTGTCTTCGAAATGAATGGCATTGTATCAAGGCTCCTTGGACTTCTGAGGGGCCCCACTTCTGCTGCTGCTGCTCCTGCTGCTGCTGCTGCTGCTGCTGCTGGAGTGGGCGAAGCAGCCGCTACAGAAGGGGGAAATCCTGCAGCAGAAGCAGCAGCAACAGCAGCAGCAGCAGCAGCAAAGGAGGAGGAAGCCATGAGGCTGGAGTATGCAGCAATTTGCTCTGATCTGCATACACCCGTCTCGATTGTCTTAAGGTGCAGCTGCACTGAGACCTCCTTCTACGTCTCTTTTGCTTGTGCTGCAACCAACAAATTGGGGTTTAGGGTTTAGGGTTTAGGGTTTAGGGTTTGGGGGTTAGGGGTTTGGGATGAAGGTCAATTTGCCGACAGCTGAAGCTCCTCCTGCCTGCCGCTAAACCATAAACCCTAAACCCTAAACCCTCCAGAGATCACTTACAAATCCCCGGCTTTAGGGTTTAGGGTTTAGGGTTTAGGGTTTAGGGTTTGGGGTGTGCAGGGATTTGTTATGCCAGCGGAACTCCGTCTATTGTTTTGCTCTCCTTTTGCGGCAGTTTGTATCTGAGGAGACACTTAGAACCCTAATAGATATGCTTTTATCAGAGGCATGCAACTCTTGCTGCTGCTGCTGCTGCAGTTGCTGCTGCTGCTGCTGTCGTTGCTGCTGCTGCTGCAGTTGCTGCTGCAGTTGCTGCTGCTGCTGTCATTGCTGCTGCTGCTGCTGCTGTCGTTGCAGCTGCTGCTGCTGCTGCCGTTGCTGCTGTTGCTGCTGCTGCTGCTGCTGCTGCTTCTGCATCTGTTGACGCTGTTGCTGCTGGTGCTGCTGTGCTGCTGTTGCTGCTGTTGTGTCTGCCTCTGCTGCTGTGGTGGTGAGAGAGGAGCTGCTGCTACAATTGGTAGTGTGCTGCTGCAGGTGCTGCTATTGTTGCTGCCGTATCTGCTGCTGATGTTCCTGCTGATGTTGCTGCTGCTTCTATTGCTAGTGCTGCTGCTGATGGTGGTGGCTGCTGTTGCTGCTGCTGCTTTGGGATTTGCTTATTTCTTTATTTTTTGTTTTTTTCATCAGCTGTACATACACCTGAACGCCCTCTAACATTCTTTTTGTTTGTTTGCTTCCGCAGTGCTGCAGTTGTCTTTGCTGCTCTCTGTCCGTCTTCAACGAACTTATTTGCTGCGTCTGCACTCGCAAGTCCTGCAGCAGCAGCAACACCAGCAACACCAGCAGCAGCAGCAGCAGCAGCAGCAGATCCCCCAGCGGCGGCAGCACCAGCCCAGTTGGGGTCTCCCCTTTCAATGTAGACGAGCAGCAGCAACAGCAGCAGCAGCAGCAGCAGCAGATGCTGCTGCTGCAGACATTGCAACAAAATGAAGCACTATTTGAGGGAAATGCCTCTAACCAGCAGCAGCAGCAACAGGAGCAGCAACAGCAGCAGGAGCAGGAGCAGCAGCAGCAGCAGCAGGCATGCGTTAAGCGGGAGGGAGGGGCCTATAGCTTTAAACGCACCAACACATTTCAGGTGTACAGACAGCCTGAAGTAATATTTGATGCTTCTGAAGAAGGAGAAGAAGGAGAAGAACAAAAAAATAGAGTTAAAGCAGCCGATGTCTTCAGGTGTATAGACACCTCAAACAGCAACCAGCAGCAAATGCAGCAATTCTCTTCATCCCAGCAGCAAGAGCAGCAGCAGACTCAGATGCAAAACAAAGAGCAGCGACAAGCGCACGACAAAGAGCAGCAGCAGCTAGAAGAGAGCAGCCAACAGCAGCAGGAGAAGCAGCAGCAAAAAGGGCAGCAGCTGCAGCAGCAGCAGCAGCAGCAGCAAGTGGACCAGGAGCTACAGCAGCACGAACAAAGGAAACAGGAGCTTCAGCGGCAGCAGCAAGAAACCCAGGAGATGCAGCAGCAGGAACAGCAGCAGCAGCAGCAGGAACAGCAGCAGCAGAAGCAGGAACAGCAGCAGCAGCAGCAAGGGCAGCAGGATCGGCAACAGGAGCAGCAAGAAAAGCAGGAATTGCAGGAGCAGCAGCAGGAACGGCAGCAGCAGGAGCAGAAACAGCAGCCGCAGCAGCAGGAGGAACAGCAACAGGACCAGCAGCCGCAGCAGCTGGAACAGCAGCAGCAGCAGCAGCAGCATCCATCTTGCAATGTTGTAGCAGCAGCCTCACCCTTCAGGCGACCCGACGTCAGCAGCGTGAGCAGCGAGTACATCCGAATGGCTGTTGCTGCACTGCAACCATCTGCTGCGCCAGAAGCAACCCAACAGCAGCAGCAGCAGCAGCACGAACAGCAGAAGGGACAGCAGCAGCAGCAGCAGCAGCAGCAGCAGCAGGAACAGCAGGAGGAACAGCAGCAGCAAGAGTACTGTCGCATGCGCACCGAGGAAGAGACACACGAGTACCTGCAACGGGGGCAACAGCAACTGCAGCAGCAGCAGTTGCTGCACCAGCAGCAGCAGCAGCAGCAGCAAGAGTTTGCACTCGGCAGCGGAAGCAGCAACTCTTCTTTCTACCTGCCGCTGCACATTTCAAGCAATTCGCAGGAGTGGCTTAAATATATTAATCAGGGAGACTTCCTCACCTTGCACTTCGTCCCCAAGGTCAGGGTTTAGGGTTTAGGGTTTAGGGTTTAGGGTTTAGGGTTTAGGGTTTGGTGTGTTTAGGGTATTGGGAATAGGGTTTACGGTTTTGGCTCTAGGGTTTAGGGTTTGGGGTTTGGGGTTTAGAGTTTAGGGTTTAGGGTTTACGGGGGGTGCATTGTTGAAGACAGTTTGCTGCGGTTTGCTGCTGCAGCTGCCACAGTTGCTGCAGCAAATGGAGTATTGCTGCTGCATGCCCCCCACCTGGCGCTCAGATGTGCTGCTGCAAGACCAGCCGCAGCCGCAGCAGCAGCAGCAGCAGCAGCAGCAGCAGCAGCAGCAGCAGCCGGGGCTCTATTCAGAGCCCACCTCAGTCTCAAATGGAAGCAGCAGCAGCAGCAGCGGCAGCAACATCTGCAGCAGCAGCAACAGTCGCAGCAGCAGCAGCAGCAGCAGCGTTTGCTGCAGGTCTCCTCGTCCTTTCAAGAGGAGACACCGCGAAGTGCTGCTGCCTAATGGAGTGTTTGCTGCTGTGGGGAAGGAGACGCTCGATCTGCTGCTGCTGCTAAAGAACCTCTGCAACACAAATGCTGAGGTGTACATACACCCTGTTGCTGCAGCAAACACTTGCTGCAGCTGTCTGCTGCTTCGCCTCTCCCGTGTTGCTGCGGTTCAACACATTTAGCCACAGCAGCAACAGCAACAGCAACAGCAACAACAACAGCAGCAATAGCAACAATAACAGCAGCAGCAATAGCAGCAGAAGCACCATCACCAACAGCAGCAGAAGCAGCAGCAGAAGCAGCAGCAGAAGCAGAAGCTGAAGCAGCAGCAGCAGGCGTAGTGGTAATATGAGATAGGGTTTCTGTTTTAAATTGATTGCGGTGTATGTGCAGCAGCTGCTGCAGTTGTAGGTTGGGGTGTACGTACACCTGAAGAAATATTTTTTTTAGGTTTTGTTTGTGATTAGGTACTGATAAGAAAGATAATAAAAGAGGGTTTTATTGAAGCTGCAATATTTTTGCTGTTTATGCATAGGGCAAATTCTTCTCTACATGGAGCTGTCTTGTCTGTCTATACACCCTAACACTAACTCTATTTAAGCTGCTGCTGCTGTTGCTGTTGCTGCTGCTGCTGCTGCTGTTGCTGCTGCTCTTGCCTGCTCTACCGTTTCCCTTGCTGCTGCACCTCCGTCTATTCTTGCTGTTGCTGCTGCTGCTGTGCGCACTGCTGCTGCTGCTCTTGCTGCTGCTCCAGTTGTTAGCATTCTGCTGCATCCACGCATCTCTCTTTTTTAATTATTTTTTTTATTTTTATTTATTCAGAGAGAGACAACTGCACCGAGTGCGGAGACTCAAGGAAGTGAATATACAACGACAAACAACCAGCAGAAGCAGCAGCAAGAGCAGCAGCAGCAGCAGCAGCAGCAGCAAGAGAAGCAGCAGCAGCAGGAGGAAGAGCAGCAGCAGCAAGAGGAGCAGTCTGCAAGAATGCCCGACATCTCCTGCATGCGCTTCATCTGCCCCTGCGGCAGCTGCTGTTGCTGCTGCTGCTGCTGCTGCTGCTGCTGGCAAAGACGAGAAGCACAATTGGGGTGTATGTACACCTGAAGGCTCCTTCTGCGCTAGTGCAGCAGCAGAAGCTGCGCTTCAAGGATTGCTGCAGCCAATGAAGGAAAGCTGCTCATACATACCGCATTTGCTGCAGCTGATGCAGCTGCTGCTGCTGCAGCGCGACGCGCTGATAGTGAGGACAGCTGCTGCTCCCTGCCGCCCCCTACTGGCTAGCTAGCTAGCTAGCTGCCAGCTACCTATTAGCTAGCCAGCCTAGTAGCTGTCCAGCTAGCTAATCAGCTAGCCAGCTAGCTAGCTAGCAGGTGGCTAGTTATCGATTATCTAGGGTAAAGTTAGGCAGCTATCCAGCGAGCTAGCTAGCGACTAGCTAGCGAGCTAACAGCTAGCTAGCTAGCGGTATTCGGTCTGTTGCTGCTGCAGGAGGAAGGGGTTAGTGAAGTGTCGCTGCAGATAATAGAAGAAGAATTGAAGTTTTACAGCCTACTGCGAGTTCGTCTCTGCTGCTGCTGCTGTCTGTTCTGCTGCTGCTGCTTCTGCTGCTGCCTGTTCTGCTGCTGCTGCTGGCTGTTCTGCTGCTGCTGCTGCAGTTTGCTGCTGAGATATCTCTGTTGTTTGGGGTGTATGCATGCAAAGAGGAGTTAAAAAAGTAAACAAACAAACGAACAAACAAGGAGAATAAAACGCATGCAGCCCTGGCAATGATAAGGACAATCATTTGCTGCTGTTGCTGCTGCTCTGCTGCTCTGCTGCTGATGCTGATGCTGCTGCGGATGCTGCTCTCATATTGCTGCTGCTACTCTGTTGCTGCTGCTGTTGCTGCTCTGCTGCTGTTGCTGCTGCTGCTGCTGTGTGCAGCAGCAAAAAGATGAAAATGCAGCAGAGTCTTCACCGAGTGAAGGCCCCACAATTGGTGCAGCGGTCTGTACACCTGAGAGTGATTAGAAGAGACAGATGCAGAATTATAATAATAAATATAAATACCTAGTCTAAACCCTAAACCCTAAACCTAAACCCTAAACCCTAATTAAGGCGATTTGTTCGGGTTGCTTCCTCCTTGTCTTCACGAGCTGCAGCTGAGCTATATGTACACTTGAAGTTATAATATATATATATATATATATATATGTTTATTTATTTATGCTTATTTATTATTTTCTGCTATGCGTTTACTCCTCAGGTGCCTTAGAGCCTGCAGACGGGAGGAGATAAATAAAAAACAAATACTCAATCTAAACCCTAAACCCTAAACCCTAAACCCTAACAGACAAACAACAAAAGGCGGCAGGGAAATAAAACAAACAAAACGAAACAAAACAAGACAAACAAAACAAATAGAAAAATAAACAAAGTAAACAAAATTAAAAGAAAATGAATAAAAAAACAAATAAATAAACAAATAAATAAATAAATAAATAAATAAATAAATATAAAGAAGATATCAATAAATGATAGACAACAAACAACAGAAAGGAGACAAAAAACAAATAAATATTTTGTCTCTTTCTTAGTGGGGCTTTGAGGTGTACGTACACCTCAATGGAGAATCAAAGAGAAAACAAAACTTTTAAAGAGATAAACAAAACAAATAAAAATATAATAATGCAAATATAAAGGAGGTCTGTCTGTACACCTGAAGCATAAAACTATATTCATTTATTCACGCTTATTCATAGTCTATTATTACTATATATATTGTAATATAATATATATATATATATATATATATGTAAAGGTAAATATATATATATATATATATATAAAGATGAAGATAAAGATTAATATAAACATCGGCATAAAATAAATAGAGATAGAAATAAATAAATAGAAGTATAAATATAAATAATAAATATAAATATACACAATACGTATAAACATAAATAATAAAAACAATCAGTAAATATAAATGCTATGTACAAATATAAATACAAATTATATAAACATAAATACAAAATACAAATAAATAAATATATATATATAAATATAAATATAAATGTACATAATAAATATAAAGATAAGTGCAAATGTAAGTACTAAACATAAACGTAATAATAAATATAAACATAAATAATAAACAAATACAACAAAAGTAATAATTATATTCTCTCTACAGTAAAGAGCGGCGCTGCGCTGAGGTGTACATACAGCCCAGCAGAGAAAAAAACAGAGAAAAGCAAATAATAAAAAATAATTAATTTAAATTAATTATTTTTGTTGTTTGTTTGGTCAAAGAACGAGAAGAAAAGACAACAAATGTATTTCAACAGAATGCATAGAGTAGTATATATATATATATATATATATATATATATATATTGATATATATAATATATATATATTGTATTACAATATATATTGCATTATAATATATATTGCCCTATACATATATATATATATATGTATATATATATATATATGTATGTATATATATATATATATATACATGCATATTTATATATATATATATACATATATATTTATATATGTTTCTCATATACTCTATTATATATTAAATATTGTATAGAGTATATAATAATAAAATAAATAATAAAATTGCACAATAAACAAAATAAACATAATAATAATAATAATAATAAAATAATAATAGTAATAATAATAATAGTAATAATAATAATAATAAAAAGTTTATAATAATTATTAATCTGTCTCTTCTGCTGCAGTTCTTCTTCGCGGAAGCAAATTTTTTCGCTTCTCTTTGGCTAATAATTTTACTCTTTTTTTAATCTCTGTCTTTTGCTGCTTCTTCTTTGATTGCTGCTGCTGCTGCTGCTGCTGCAGCAGCTCCTTCAGCCTCCTCTTTGTTATATAATGCGGCTTCTTCCCGCTTGCTGCTATTTTGTCTCTCTCTGCTTTGCTTACAGCAGCACGAAGTGCTGCTGCTGCTGCTTTTCTCTCTCTCTGCTGCTGCTGCGACTGCAGCCGCTGCAGCTGCTGCTTTGCTCTCTCTCTTTCTGCTGCTGTTGCCTTAGGGCCCTTCTTGCTGCTCCTGCTGCTGCTGCTGCTTTGGGGGATTCTTCCTGTCTTAACTACTTGCTGCAGTTGCTGCATTAGCTGCTGCTGCTGCTGCTCAATGAAAGAATAAGCTTCAGCGCATGCAGCAGCATTAAATGAGCCGCATAACTCCGAGAAGCGAGGGTCTCTGCTGCTGCTGCTGCTGCTGCGTGCTCTTAGGCCTCCTCGTAGTCTTTTTAACTGATTTGCTGCAACAGCAGATCGGTATGCCTGCAATTCATCAGCAGCAGCAGCAGCAGCAGCAGCAGCAGCAGGACTTCCTCCTGCTGCTGATGCTGATGCTGCTGCTGATGCTGCGGGTGCCGATGTTGCTGCTGCTGTTCCTGCTGCTGCTGCTGCTGCTGCTGCTTTTAGCAGCAGAGGCCCTGCTGTCTCTCCATCAGGCAGCACAACAGCACCTAGAGGCCGAGTTCTTTTTCTGCAGCTGTTTTCTTTGGGGGCTTTTGTTTTATGTTGTTTCTTTTGCTTTGCTTTCTGCTCAGCTTTACTCCTTTTATCTAATGCTGGCTTCGTGATGCTCCCCTTAGGAAACCGCTGCTGCTGCTGCTGCTGCTGCTGCTGCTGCTGCTGCGCTGCTGTTGTAGAAATATAATCGCTCTCTGAAGAAGAGAGAGACTCACGCTGCAGCTGCCGCAGCTGCTGCAGCGTCAGACCCTCGAGGGCCTTTACCATGGCAGCTGAGGTGTATGTACACCACAGATTAGCAGCAGCAGCAGCAGCAGCAGCAGCAGCAGCAGCAGCAGCAGCACGAGGCTAGTGAAGAGAAGCCAGGAAAAACAAATAAAAGCAGAAGGGTATAGCGAAGGAAGATAAACAATCTCTTTTCTTTAACTTAAATACAACAATAAATATAATGCAGCTTTAAAAGGATAAAAATAAAACAAAAGAAAAACAAATAGATACAACCCTGTGCATGCATCGGCCTTAAAAACCCTCAGCAGCAGCATAATATACAGATAAGAGTTATAAAGGATATCTTCTACTCGTAAAATGCTTCTTTTATATTATTTTATTTATTTTATTTTGATTTTAATTTAAATATTTATTTTAATTTAATTAATACTTCACGTTTTACTCTCTTTTTGCTTACTGCTGCTGGGGCTAGAGAGGGAAGCGGAAGTATGTGGCTTTAAGTGGAAGTACGGCGTTAATTAAATTATTAATTAGATTATTAATTAAATTATTAATTATATTTTTAATTTTATTATTATTTCGCTCTTTAAACGATTTAATTTAAATGCAAATAAAGAGAGGGGCCCAGCTACCTGCAGAGAAATACAAGAAACTGCAGTGTACCTCCACAGACACCGCAACAGCAGCAGCAGCAGCAGCGGCAGTAACAGCAGAAGCAGCAGCAGCACCAGCAGCTGCAGCAGAAGCAGCAACAGCAACAGCAACAGCAGCAGCAGCAACAACAACAACGGCATATGTGAGGTGTATGGATAGCTGAGGATGTGAAGAAGATTGTCTTTGTGCTGCTGCATTAAAATGCTTCCTGCATTACCGAAGCATTATTTTGCTGCTGCTTTGTGGGGTGTACCCCGTAGAGCACTCAGCAAGATAGCAGCAACAGCAGCAACAACAACAGCAGCAGATGCTGCTGCTGCTAGTGCAGCACCATCTGCTGCTGCTGCACCATCTGCTGCTGCTGCTGCAGCAAAAGAAACAGCTACTACCTTGGCTAGAGGCAGATGCACATCCCCTCCTGTTCATTTCAGCAACAGCAGCAGCAGCAACAACAGCTGCAGCAGCAGCAGCAACAGCAACAGCATCAACGACGACATCCGCAGCGCAGACAGCAGCAGCATACATACCAGCAGCACCCCCAGCACCAGCAGCAGCAGCAGCAGCAGCAGCAGGGATGATTTGCTGCAGACAAGTCGGCATAAGAAGGAGGGTTTGCTGCCTGTATGTAAGTTATTGTCAATGAAGGGTTTATGCTCTCGTAGAGAAGCAGCAAAATATCTTTCTTGCGGCTTGGTGTTATTAGGAGACAAACTTTTACAGCCGTTTGAGGTGTACGTACACCCTAACGCCCCGGTGAAGCTAGCCCCAAGAGCACAGAGATTAGCTAAACAAAAACTTACTATTATTTTAAACAAACCCCTGCACTTCCTCGCCTCCTATAAAGAAGGAAGAGTGAGACCTCCTGCTGCTGATGCTGCTGGTGCTGCTGGTACTTCTGCTGCTGCTGCTGCTGCTATTGCTGCTGCTGCTTCTGCTAGTGCTGGTGCTGCTGCGGGTACTTCTGCTGCTGGCGCTGTTGCTGCTGCTGCTGCTGCTAGTTTTGTTTTGTCTTGGTTTGCATAGTAGAAATATATTTGCATGCACTGATGGGGCTTTTTTGCTTTGCTTGATCTTCATTCTTTTTTGTTATTTATTATTGTCTTTTGTTTGTTTTTCTATGTTGGTCTTCATTCTTTTTTGTTTGTTTCTCCTTTATCTTTTGTTATTCTTACTTGTTTATTATTTTTATTTGTTTATTATTCTTTTTTGTTTATTTTTACATGTGCGTTGTTGCAGGGTTCTGCTGCAGCAGCTGGCAGCAGCAGCAGCAGCAGCAGACCTGTTGCTGTTTCGCTGCTGCGGCCTGAGAACATGTGGGGTGGTTTTGCTGCTGCATGCGGAGGAGGCGATCCCAATATTAGCTGCCTATACACTGGAGGAAAAGATATGTCTTTGTCTTTAAAAAAGTTGCTGGCTATAGAGACTCTCGATGCAAGCACCTCGGGTCTTCAGGTGTATACGCAGGTGCATTTGCTGTCTCTCTATACTTTTACTGTCTCTCTTTGCTCTGTTTCTTTTGCTGTCTCTGTTTGTTTATTTGCTTCTGTCTGTCTCCTTTTGCTGCCGCTCTTTGTTTGCTTCTTCTCTCTTTACTCTCGCTCTTTCTTTCCTAACCCTAAACCCTAAACCCTAAACCCTAAACCCTAATAGCAGCCTCCTTTGTTTGTTCTACAGGATGGCCGCGTTGTTTCGCAGCTGTTGGGGGGTCGGCTCCCCAGCGAATATCTTGTTCAGGTAAACCCTAAACCCTAAACCCTAAACCCTAAACCCTGATACCCCTAAACCCTAATTATCACTCTAAACTTTGCTAGCATTAAACTCTAATAACCCTAAACCCTAAACCCTTGCTGTCTCTGTTGGTTTGATTGTTCTGCTGCATTCGCAGCACTGCTGCTCTCGCGTGTCTGCTTCTTTTCGCCTATGGAACCGCAAACCCTAAACCCTAAACCCTAAACCCTAAACCGTATTGTTGTGGGGTTGTTTGCGATTGCTGCAGGTAGACAGAGCCCCTTCTGCTGCTGCAGTATCTCTGCTGCAGCAGAGTCTGTCTGTTGGTGGTGTTGAGCTGCCGCCTGCTGCTGTCTCTCCTGTCTCTGCTGCTGCAGCGAGACAAATGTTAGGAGACAGTCTCTATGATACTTCTTCTTCTTCTTCTTCCTCCTCCTCTTCTTCTTCTTCTTCTTCTTCTTCTTCTTCTTCTTCTCCTTCTTCTTCTATTACTGCATTTTATTTATTAATTAGAGTAAGACAAGCTCGTTCTTGTCAAATAGCAGAGATGTGCAGATACAGCGGGATGACTGCACTGCGCGTACACCGCGTAGGCCTTGGGAGAGTTTTTTTAGGGGCTTTACCTCAAGGCAAATGGAGATATATATTATCTGCTGAATCATTTATTTAATTACTTTATGCTTGTGTTTATCTTGTTGTTATTCTTATGTCTTTATTGCTGTATAAATCTTTTATTCAATTACTTTATGCTTTTATTTATCTTTTCTTGTTTATAGTTTTGCTGTCTAATTGTTTTATTTAATATTATTTTATTATTTTATACTTTTATTTATCTTTTCTTCTTCTTCTTTGTCTCCTTTGTCTACCTGTCTCTGCATTGGACTCTAAATGTTTTATTTAATTGTTTTTATGTTTTAATATTCTTTATGTCTTTCTTCTTGTGCTTAAATAAATAAATATTTATTTTTTTATTGTTATTCAGAAGAAAAAAACATTTTCTTCCTTTTGCATTTTATTCTTTTTGTTTGCTTTGTTGGTTATTTACCGAGAAACATATATAGATATATATATATATATATTTATTTATTTGTTTATTTATTTATTTGTTTATTTATTTATTTATGCAATTTGGTTTTTAATGTAGAGGCAGAAGATAAAGATATTATGAGAAAGAGACAGAAGATAGAGAAATTTATTCAGAGATAGATAAAGATACTTGTACAGACAGAAGCTAAAGATATTTATAATAAGGCAGAAGAAAAAGACAGAGAGAGAATAATATTTAAAAAGTAATAAGCTATTAGGATATTTACAGAGATAGAGATAGGGTGAAGACTTGTGCTGCTGCTGTTGCTGCTGCTGCTGCGTCTTCAAGCCACGCTGCTGCATGCATTCGGGTGTATGCTGAGGTATACAGACAAGATGCTGATGAGGAATAAAGAAAAAGAAGTATAACAAACGCGAATAAAAAATAAACAGATGAAGGAGACAGTTGCAACAACAGAAAGAAGAGCAGAGACAGACAGAAACAAACAAAAGGCGAATGAAGACAAAGTGTAAATACCCAAGAAGAAATAAAAAAGAAACAAACAAATAAACAAAAATAAACATACAATTCTAAACTCAACCGAAGACAAACATAAAAAATGTTTTAAATCCCTCTATGTTGTCTTCTGCTCGTCTCTTTCTCTAACCTTGCATGCATGCAAATGCATGCAAGGATAGAAATATGCATACAAATGCATGCATGCATCCAAGTGCATGCATGCAAATGCATGCAAGTGCATGCATGCAAATGCATACATGCAAGTGCATGCATGCATCCAAGTGCATGCATGCAACGAGAAAAGTATATCCTCCTTCAGAGGCCTCTGCTGAGCATCGCGAGGATAAAAGAGCGAAGAAATACCAAAAGAAGACAACACAATTAAAAGACCTGCATTTCAAGCCCCTAACTTTATGCATGCATGCATGCATGCATGCATAAGGATTGCATGCATGCACGTATAAGGAGTGCATGCATGCACGTATAAGGATTGCATGCATACAGCTGAGGGCCTTTCTGTTCTCTTTTTCTTGCAAGCAGAATTAGTCTGTATGTCTGGCGTTAATGCCAAATGAATTTGAATAAAGTGAAAGTGCAGCAATCGGTGTGCATGCAGTTATTCCTGTGTGTTATATTGAGGTGCCTATACACCTCAACTTCTTCTCTGTCGTTGTATTGAGGTGCCCATACACCTCAACTTCAACTTTTTCATTTAAAACGCTCTTCAGCGCCTTCACTCCCATACCCATCTTTGCATATTGCCAGCGGAAGGAAAACCCTAATATATATATATATATATATATATATATATATAGGTGTATATATATGTGTGTTTTTACATGTATACATATGTGCATATATATATGCATTATATATAGGTGTATATATATATATATATACACCGATATATCTGTATATACATATATTATTCACACACACACACATATATATATATATATACATATATATATATATATATATATAAATGTATATACATGTATGTATATATATGTGTATACACTTCGGATGATACAGAATATGACGGCAATATATAAAGTGCATATTTTATAATTTATATATATATTGAAAAGATGCATGCAAATAATAATGA